CTTCGTGGGTCGCGCCCCTGTCTTCACTGACCTCCTCCAGGTCGATCAGTCTCGATCGAGGTCTTCCCAGTTAAATAAATAAATAAATAAATTTTTTTATTTAATGCCAGTTTACAGGCATTGTCAAGGGGAGCGATTAAACATAAATCCGACCGGCAGTGAAAAAAACTCCTGAGCTTAAGGGATAAAAATATAGTTGATGTTGGTTTTTGTGGTTTGGAGGGCTCAGGAGAAAAACTGCCGGAATTGGCCGAGTTGGTTTAAGGAGGCTTCAGGGAGATCTTCAGAGGGTCCATGTATCGACGGATTTGGTCTCCTTGGCGTCGGGAACACGCGGCGACATCTCTATGGAAGAGTCACTTGGGTAGGCTCTCGTTCATCCGTACGAGGAAGTAACTTCAACGAAGTTGCAGTTGTCTCAACATAGCGTAGATGCTGAAGATTCCCGTCCTTACCAGTACGTCCGTGTCCGGGATCCGGTCCTACCACCTCAGCTTCAGTATGCGACGAAGACAGCTGAGATGGAAGTGGCTGAGTCTACTAGCCTGCTTCATGCACACCGTCCGGATCTCTGCTCCATAGAGCAGCGTCGGAAGGATGGCGACCTTGCACATTTTCTGTTACGTGCCGAGTTTGTTGAAGACCATGACGATTTTAAAATGTATTTTTAGAAGGGTATTGAAGGCTAAACTGGCCTTGGAAATGCGGCGGGCCACTTCATCGTCGATTTTGGCGCTGCCCAGATACGTGAGGTGTCTACCATTTGGGTTGGGTTCCGTTCACGATGATTTGGGACGCATTGTAGGCAATGCTGGGTGGCGGTTGGTGCATTACTGCTGTCTTCTCCGTGTTGGTGATCCGGCCGAAATTCTCGCAGGCGGCGTCGAAGAGATCCATGCCCCTTTTCATTTCCCCTTCCGAGGTGGTGTAGAAGGCACAGTCGTCGGCGAAGAGAAGTTCGTGGAAGTCGTTGTCGATACACGCGACAGAAACTGCGTCCGCTGCTGATTGAGGAGGTGGGCGTCCGTCCTGTAGGCGACGCGGATCCCGAGACTTTCGTCGCGGTAGGCGTCCATCAGCATGGTCACTGCAAATGCCTCTGAGACAGCCTCATTTTTTGTGACGCGCGCCATCGTGTCATCGTGGAGCTGACGCACCATCTGAGTAAATCCTTCGGGGCGGCCGAATTTCTGCATGCTTTTCCGCAGTCCTTCACGATTTACTGTGTCAAAGACTTTCGTCCGATCAACGAAAGTAGAGTACAGGTGGGTCCGCATCTCCTAACACTTCTCCTGCAGTTGGGAGGTGGCGATGATCATGCCGGTTGTTCCGCGATGACGGCGGAAGCCGCAATGGATTTTCGGCAGGAAACCCCGTTCAGATGGCTATTAAAGCGGTAAAGGAGAATGCGAGCGAAGATCTTCCCGACGATGTTCATCAGCTGGATGCCCTGTGATTGTCTTATATTTGACGATTTTCTTTCTCGGCTATTGTCATTTCATGGGTAGCAGTTTTTTCTCCTGAACCATCCAAACTATACAAAAACATCATAATCTTCGTTTAATTATCAAATGCATTTTTTCACTGCTGCCCAGATTTGTGCTCAATCTTTCCCCGCGAATGCCCGTAAACTGGCATTAAATACAATTGCTATTATAACTGTGGAAATGCACGATTACGTCGTCTTTGAAATCATGCGAGACTACTCCTTGACGTCACATCTACTGGAAGAGCGCCGTCAGATGATCAATGATTTGTGGCCACCGTTCGTGAAGATTTCAGCATGGATTGCGTCCGATCCGGACGCATTCCCGCTGGA